CATCATGAAATTTTCCTTATTAAAAGAATCAAGTGAAACCAAGTGTAAAATTTGAGGTTTTCACAGCGGTGAGTATGAAGATTGCTGTCTTCAAACCAAGTTATTTCACTAAATCATTGCTCTTCTTATTCGATGACACAATGAAACACAAAATTAAGTACATTATTGCACCAATGTCTGAACTCATCTATTCTCCTAGATTCCAGGACCTAGAAAGTAATGCTGAGTGAGAGAAGATGTCTACTTTTCTTTGTAACACTGCATATTTCTCTGAGATCCATTTCAATATTAACCACCGATCTATGTCAAATTCTTCCAGGTGGTCCATTTCCTTGAGTTTATAAATGTTCTTTTCTTCTTGTAGTCACAAGAAAGAATACAATTTTAGGCCACTCATCTGTGAAACATTTCTCCGACCAGGTACATCTTGTAAGTGAACACATCTGGTGTGATGACTATCTGGTGCGCAGTTTCTACCTGAAGAACCTGAAGACGGGCGAAACTCGCACAGTGACACAGTTTCACTTCCTGTCCTGGCCTGATTCTGGTGTGCCTCTCTCCACCAAGGCTCTGCTTGAGTTTCGCAGGTCAGTTCATTTTTAGTAATGAAACCCTTAAATTCTGGCTAAGTAATTAAATTAATGCTTCTGTAACATTAACAAAGTTTCAGAGATTGTTTCTACTTCTGCCTGTAGTCAGTTGACATTTTTATAGTGACATGTTGCATTTTTGTTACTTCTTTCACAATAGCAGTCACCCCATTATCTATCAATTAGCATATGCAGGTAGCATAAAGAGTCAATCAGTGTTGTTTGCATGTTAGATAGAATTAGTAAAATCAATAGAGGATTTGGAAAATTTGTAGGCATTTCACATACAGGAGTATAATAGCTTAGCGACTAAAGTCTGTCTGCATCAGTGGTTGGTACCAGTATGTGTATACTTTGCTGAAATTGAGGCAGATATTATGAAGTCGCACTGTGATACATGTATCACCACATGAAGCAACATATGATAAAAAAAAGGTTGGCTGAATTTGAGAAAGGGTAAGAGGTTGGCAACAAGGATAATTCAAGAGGTCTAAGACTGCACTTTTGGGTACAAAATACATTTCAAAGGTACATGCTCCCTCCACCATCAGGGCCCTGACGATAATGGCAGCAAGAACCTATTAAACATCGGTAGACTTCTAGTAGGTTAGATGAAGCCGCAACCCAGAAGAGTCATATTAATACTACCAACCATCAGAACCTCAAATCCTAAGTTAGAATAGATAACGCAAATAAACTTCAAAATCATTTCCAGGTATAAGTGATCACCTATTATAAAGTTGTTCCACATTTTGTAGAATTTGATATCGAGTGAGATTTACGAAAATTAAGATACGTTCTGGAAGTAGGTGGTAATAGTTATTTTGTAATCTGTGAAATATCCTTCGATCGATTCGATCAGCCCCGCTTTTTGAATGCGGAATATCGACCAATCATATTAAGAAACGCCGTAATCATACATCGATCAATTCGATCGACCTCACTTTTGTTGGCACAACTGAATATCGACCGGCGATAACAAGAAATGTGGGCGGTATAAATAATGTTAACGTTAGCGTGCAAAAAGTGTAAGCTGTTATTGCAAAAATGTTTTCTTTGGTTTGATTAACGTTCTGCATTTAACCATTGCACTGTCGCTTTAAAAATTACTTTTAATAAAATGACGTTACATAAGTGTTTAGCTCGTTCAAAAGAATATTTATGTATTGGCTAACTTAACTGGTGTATTAGATCCTTAAGGTTAACATTTTTCTTCCCTTGGAATACATTTCATACTTACAAGGACAAGGGAATACCCTGAGTTCTGTCAACAAACATTTTTTTATAGAAAACTGGATCAGTAGAAAGAAAGAAAACAATGTTTAAAAGTATGTTATTGTATTATGGCGAAAAGTATGGAGAGTATATTATGCATTGATTCAGAGTGATAAAAGAGGGATAGAAAGTAATACGTTTGTGCTAAATTATTATCATGAAAAATTACATTATAATTACTTCAAATAAATAACTCAGAATACAAAAAGTGACATTCACACTAATTTTCAATAGATTTATGTCAGCATAAATGTTAACACAATATATGTATTGTGAAATTTGAAGAAAATTGTACACATTAATGTGCATATAGAGGACATTCATCTTTCATTCATTATCATTCAAAACTTCATTGCATTTATTACTGCCAAACTCTTTTCTCACAGGAAGGTGAACAAGTCTTATCGTGGTCGCTCCTGCCCCATCATCGTCCACTGCAGGTTAGTTTTGGCAGTCTGTGTACAGGTTATATGAAAATAACACGTCAGTAAAGCTAATACAAGTAAATCTGTATGATTGAATATAAATTGTAACAATAATGCACTTACAATTCATTAAATATTATGCTTTTTACAAGTGGCAGGACAGTATCTGATTTTCAATTAAGGCCTTTCAGAAACGGCTCTTGTACAAACTTGCAATCTGTTATTTTATTATGAGTGTAGTTATATGTTTTACACGTGTGTTTGATGTCAACAATAATCAAATCATATACTTTGTTTCACCAAGATGGGCCATTAGATTGACTCATGTTGGTCTCAAATACAAAACTCAGTTTTATTAAAATGTTTGCATACCAACATTTTTCAGGAAGATCTGAGATAAATGAGAGAAACCTTAATTAGGACAGCTGGTCTCCCAACCTAAATTCAAATCGGAGCCAATCTGAATACAAAGTGGTAGTGCTAACCACTAAACTCATCTGCTACTTTCAGTTCATTTTGTCTTTTAGATGACACTGTCCCAAAACAAACTCGGTACAGAAGAAAATAATGCTTTGCTTCCGTTAGTAAATGTAACAGCTAGTTAACAGTGTTTTATCTGTATTTACTAATAGATTTAACACAAAACTAAAAAGACTGATTTGTGTATGGGCGGTGCCCAGTTTGAATATCCATTCCTGTCTGAGTCTTCTTTTGTATTCTTTTTCCCCCTCCCCAGATGAATGCTGTGACAGGCAAATCCACAGTTATGCCATGCCCATTAAATGCTGTTGATACATAGTTGTTCTAAACCTGCATATGAACTGCATATTTTATTTTCATTTAATCAGGATTACAGAATTATGTACTGTGATTGTTTCAGTGATGGGGTAGGTCGCACAGGCACATACTGTCTTATTGACATGGTCCTCAACCGCATGGCTAAAGGTGCTAAAGAGATTGACATAGCCGCAACATTGGAACACATCCGTGACCAGCGTCCTCACATGGTAAAGACAAAGCAGCAGTTTGAATTTGTATTGATGGCAGTCGCAGATGAAGTACATGCTATTCTGAAGGCTCTGCCTTCACAGCAACAGCAGCCCTCTGTATCAGCAGCTTCTGTACCCACAGCCACTTCATCCCAGCAGCAACAGTAACTTGATAGCATGCAGGTATGATATGCTATAACCATGGCCATCCAGTGGCTCATAGAGGAAATTATTTGAGGTGCTTATGTCCTATCCATATTTCACTCAGTCAGCTCCTTAATTCCACTCATGTTATGATTTAAATTCTGGTTGTTTAGCTTCTAGTTTTGGAATTATTTTATTACTGTGCCATAACATAACTGGCATAAACTCCATATGTCAGAAGGGAGGTGGGACATTAGGAATTTTTGGGTGTGCCTGTTAATTTATAGTTTTAAGCCTATATTTATTTAACTTAAAATAATATTTACTTTAATGTTTATCTTTATTTTCTGACTACTACATAATATCAAAAGCTATGTTTAAAGTATGTGATGTTTGTCTTTAATATAGTAGAATATTAAAATATTGAAGTAAGTTTCTTTCCTGCTTTCCCCATGGCTCTACAGTTTTTGGAGAACCTAGACCATTTTAGGGGAGGTCAGACAAAGTTTAACAAACTAAAACATATTTGAAAGGTTAGTTAAAATTAATTTGAAGTTTATAATTTGGTATGGTTCCATTTTCCATGCTAAATTTTATTTTGACCTGCATACACTAGTTCTTCATACCATAACAGATTGGCAGGTTTGGAATGTTTGTGTACAGACTTGCAGTAGGATTTTTATGAATATTTTCTTGTAACGGATATATTTTCCTACATTTTTCCAAATGCATGGTCAAAGACCATCATAATTGTTCCTTGTCACATATTAAATTTATTTCTTTGTTACATGTAGCTAGGTAGTGATCAATAACAGGGGGATACTGGTATTGGTTGATACACTACTGGTTACTCCATATCATAAACAAGGCTGCCTTGATCTACATATGTGCATACTTTTATATAATAACACTCTTTTTAAGTTCTTTATAAATGAAATATCTCAAATAACTACCTGCAGGACATATAATGATGTGTTCTCACTTTCCTAGTATGAAAAAGTAAATATCTTTTCTGATGTACTAAATTTATTGTGAGCAAGGAAGCAAGTATTTGTTGGTCAAAATGATATACAATAAATTCTGAATTGTCATACACCATATGAAAATACCACTTTGAACTGTTTATTTTCTTAATAAAGTTAATTTGGTCATAAAGTAATTAAAAAGTATTTAAATAAAAGTGAGAAATTTTTAAAATACATGTGCATGTATGGAAAATTATCATTAATGTGTCCAAAAAGTTAATTAAATTATTTAATTCAGAAAGTTTTAAAAAATTAATAAAAGATAGAGAAATTCGTTTTACAGTAATTATGCCATGACAGGGACAAGAACAGAAAAAGTGGATGATATTATTTTTACAAATGAATAATAGTAGCAACATGCAGATGCAAAATTCAACACATGGATCTGCCTATAAAAGCTCAATAATTAAATATAAATTTTCTATAACTTTTATACTTGCATATGCTGAACACTTGATATTAATTCCTTTGTCATTACAGTACCTTTTCCTTGCCTTAGGGATTGACAAAAAAAATCCCACACTGAAGAAGATACACCAAATCCATTTTCCTGAATCCTATACACTAATTATATGTGACATAAACCTTAAAGAATTTCCAGACATCTTGAATTTCTGGGTGGTTGTGGAATAGCTGCATGATGTCCCTTTTATTTAAAGTGAATGCCAAAATAATTATCTTTGGTTATACTTTAAGATAGGCATACCAATCCAAGTTAGTTACTTTGAAAATGAGTGAAGATGAGGAAATGTGAAAACATTGACAGTGTTTGGGCATTTCCTTCTGATAAGTAGGTAAACAGATTCACACTATACCTGTTATTCATGGTAGTTTTGTTGCTTCAGTCTAAACAAACCAGGTGCACAAATTACAATGTCCGGAAAATAAATTGTGGTATTTAAGTTAAAACATGCATAAGTATCACAAGTTGTTGGGTATATCTGTATGCCCAACTTTTACTTTACCTCATTTCTACTATTCATTAAGTTTTGGCTTTACTAGGGAAGTTTCCATGTCACAAACACAGTATTGCTCAGTGTGAAATTCTCCAAAATAGTGCACATGAATCTTCCATCCACAGAATATGGTGACTACCAAATGTAATTTTATTTTTTACTTTTCTCAACAGCATCTGTTTAAATTAAAAAAGGGAAATGGTTATTTATACTAAAGGCCTCCAACAAATATTGAGTAATATTTCACAGGCTGAAATTTGATTTTAATTCTTATAAAAATTCAAAATCACATTTGAAATATCATATCTAGATTAAATACAATGAGTCACAATGATTAGGAAATAAATGGTACTCTGAACAGTAAAACTTTATATGTGTACAGTTGACAATGAAGTTTTAAAGAATAATGTTTGATAATATGACAAATCATCTTAACTTAACTTAGAACTGTATTGTCTTCAAACACCTGCTTCAGAATTTTTGTAAACTTAAGAAAAACGTTTGACCATTTTGTGATTGTTTTCTCCTGGTAACCTCAAGCCAGTCTTTTATTGTTAGAAATGGATAATCTATTAAACCTCCATAAAATGATTGTTACATGTCTCCAGTACACTCCACCAAATCACATCTGCATGGTTTCATAGTGCAATTCAATTATCACATAATTAAGGAAATTTTGGTGAAATATTGTGCTCTTTGACTTTTAATGAGTCACAGGACTTGAAATGGTGGAACAAAGTATGAATGAAGGCTGTGGTAAAATGGAAGGAAGTATACTTTGTCAAATTAAACTGATAAATTAGGTTCAAGTAAATATTTCTGCCCAGCATTCTTGCTGCACAATGAAGGTATATAGTATATTAAATGTAGTGTCACTTGTGGTACTCAGTCCACTCCTTCATACAGTCTCCATTTGTAAACAGTTCTAACCTGAAAAAAACAATTTATATATATATATATATGAGCATTCCTCTTGGATGAATTATGTTTTATTTCTTGTGTCCTTCTACTTGCCCTGTGCACAGTGTGCACCAGAAATGCAGCAAGTTCTAATAGGAAAGCTGCAAATATATCATAATAATGGTATATTACTGTTGCTGTATGACATTTAATTTAGATATAAATGTGATGCTTTAATTGTGAATATGTAGATAAATATATGTAATGTTAATTTATGTCATGATATAAGAGAACAGTCATTTACTTTCCAAGGTAAATATTAGCATAGAAATAACATATATTATCTTATATCTACATAAAGAGTGACTGTTATTTATTAAAAATATTTATATTTGAACTGTTGCAACAGGTTGGCTTTTGTGTAAGGAAATTTCTTTGCAGTGAATTTGATTTCAGCAGAACAGTAAGTAAATTTTCAAGGCCAGTACTGTTGAAATAGTTCTTTAACAGACATGGTGCAGTATAGCATAAAGACTAATAGTACTAAATTCTGTGTCTTTTATGAAAGATATTCCCATTCACAGAGTTGCCAGAAATATTTATTATAGTGTTTTATGCATTCAAATCGAAATGTTATGTTTCAAATGTGTATTATCCCCAGTGTATTGGGTTTTCCTGCAGTTAATATTTGTGTCAGGAAGCTTCAGTCACTTAAGTTCTCACTCATACCATTCCAGTATCAGGGATGTGTTGTCTTCATATTAATTGTGGAGCACGTATGGTTCAGTAAGAGGAAGAAGCATTAGTAAGTAGGTGAACAACCATACTGTGAGAAAAGTTACAAACATTATTGCCCTGTAAAGTGTTTATTTATTGGAAAATGAGTAACACTAAAGTCTACAAACTTTCTATTGTAAACAGGTTCACTTATCACTCAATACTTTTTCCAAATAAAATCATCTATTAATGAGATGTTGACACTGCTTTTGATTGATTAATCTTTCAGTGTCAGTTATAATTTCTGTTGTTGAAATCATTCATAAATGAGGCAAGAAGAATAAAGGCATTCTGTACAGCCTACCATCTGTTATTAGTCCTATTCGTTAACACAGTAATTATAAAATAAATTAATGAATATGTAGTATTCATGTTAGGATGAAATTTCATTAGAAAAGCAGATTTTAAAGATAAAAGTTTCTAATAGAAACATCAGGATTAAAATCTGGTGAAAGTGTTCACATAAAAATTGCATTAGGAAATAATCTGTTTATATCTTCTGAAGAATTTAAATTCTTGAAAGTCCTACTCTATTCCTTCATCATATTCATTAATTGCAGTGATTGTGTGGAGGAACATAGCACAACAAATTCAAATTGGGCACTGAGTGAGTTCTCAGTTTTGGTGAGTTCTCCAATCTTGCTGGCTTTCATCCCCAACCTCCTAAACAGGTTCTGTCACATTAGCTGCTGCAGGAAAAAAAGAAATACTTTGTTAGCATCAAAAAATTAAAAAACCATGTATGCCTGGGTGGTGTGCTTTATTTATTTATAATTTCATATCTTTCATGAAGATTTGATGCAATATTGGTTCATATATGAAATCTTCAGTCCTGATTTGTTACACAAGATGTGCGGTTATAATTAAAGAAATCAATCATAATTTCCTTCAGCAGAAGGAAGGGATTTCCTCCATGAAGAGAGGATAATATTCATGTATGTTAATTAGCAGTACTGTGTAAAATAATTAAGCTTGTGTTGTTTCAGTAGGATTATGAAGTTCTGTATTGAATCATATTAATCAAGTACTTCAATGCATCGTCAAACTAAGCATAAAATATGAGCCTACGGCATGCAGTGTTACATTATGTTACTAAACTGTACTTTGTAAACTTGTTGGGATAGTCTGTTATTGATATTGTTCTGTGACGTGGATGTAAATTATTTTTGGCATATTGTCTTGCCAATCAAAACCATTTAATGTTGTTTGCTCGTGCACCAGGGACAGATTGATGTGGCAAAATGGTGGTAAAAGTGTAATGAAAATTAGATGTGTGTACTGTGCAGGACTGTTAAGTGTGTCTGTGGAAGGAAGCAGGGCAATGAAGGATGGAAGTGCAAGGGTTTTGACTAGAAGTTGCATGCTTATGTGACTACTACCAGACCAAAACACATTTACTAATGGAACACATGACACACAACTCAGTCTTCAAATAAATGGTTTTTGAACTGAGATAACACTGCACAATACATACTGCAAACTTCCCTATTTACTCCTAATGATACATACCTGCTCTCCCCTCCACCTGTAATACCTATCAGACCATTACAGTAGATCAGTAATTATTAAGAATGCATAGAGCTGTACCTCTCCTATACATCTTTATTGAATAGTGGTTAGTTACAGGTACAGTTATAGCTTTACATTTTAAGATTTAACTGCAAAGCTATGGGTGTATCGAGTTGACAGTGTCTGTTATTTGAAAATAAGTCTTATGTTACAATTATGTAGAGAGCTGTAGGTGTTTGTTACCAATCCATTCTTCGCCCAGATTTCTCACATTAGCTGTTTAAATAAAATACTTACATTTAAATATATAATTCTAGTAGTGTGTAGCCATTTTGCAATAACCTGTAACACTATTGATCACCACAAAATCTCTTTTTGGATATGAAGAAAATACCAAGGTTAGTAAATGCTGTACACAGCTTAGTTGGGTTGTCAATTTGTTCTCAAGAG